TTTGGGGGCAGAATTTAGTTTTGTTTGCAATTATGTCCCAGCATCTAGAACAGCATCTGATAGACAGTGGATATAGAGTGTGCATTTGCTAAATAAATGGTTTTTTTACCAGTAGTAACATGGCATCTCAGAGGTTGTAATCCCACATAATGTTCCTGATGGCCCTCTGAGGACATACGGGGCTTTAGTATCCCCAGTTTACAGGAAACAATGTAGAATGATTGATTTGCCCGAGATCCCAGAGCTGCTAAATGGCAGACATCGATTAAAAGCTATTCCTTAGGTGAAGACTTGGTTCTCAGTACTATCCTAATGGAATTGTTTCCTTACTAAACAGAGGGCCATGGTGCCACTTATTACTTCAGTGGCCCTAAGGGTTTTGTTTTGTATTCAGAATTTAAAATTTTTATGAACCCAGAATATATCATAGCATGGTTCCTGTGCCTTCTTCTCACTATCTCTCTTCTTTACCATCATAGATGCTATGTATGAAGAGAATTGTGTGCGCTCAATTTTGAGTTTTCTACTTAGGATTTGGTAAAGATGGCACTCCAGTTGCTAGGATTTATAGCAATATAAGAAGCAAGAATCCTTTCTAGAATATTTCTTTTTAGGAAAGTCTCAGGATTTTTTGAACACTTGCAAAAATATCTTTAAAAAACATATTTCTATTAAAATAATAAAAATGTTTACATACTTACCGTGAGAGAGAGAGAAAGGGAGAGAGATGAGTACTGTTCTCCAGCAACTCGAAAACTGTCACCCTCCAAAAGGATACAGGCTGTAAACCCAGGAAGTTAAAACACACCAAGGGCACTGCAGTGATGTGCTGGTTGGGATCATGCAAGGGAGCGAGAACAAGTCTCTTCTCAGGCAGGTGTCCTTTCCTCTCACATTTTGACAGTGGCTCATTTCCTGTTTGCATCCATTCCTGCCTCACAGCTTCTGTCCAGAGGGGGAAAGAGTGACAGGTAGCCTGGGGTATTATTTGGTTGTAGCTTGTGTATACTTCCTTCCGTTGACTGGACTCTTTTCAGTGTGAACTATGGTGCCCCACTGTGTCACACCAGGATGGTGCTCACACTGGCTCTTTAAACCTTTGAGAGTAGCCGCCTATGATTCAATCACAAAGCACTTTGCTTTACCCAGTTAGAGCCCTGCTCCGGGCCAATTCATGACCCTCATGCTCATAGTAAAGATTTCTTTCACTGTAGCCTTAAAGCTGCTAAAATGGGACATTACTTTTGCCTACAGTTATTTCAGCATTCTACTTTAAAGACCAAAAAAAAAGTTGAGAAATTTGGATAAATTTTCTATATATATATTTGTAATTTTATTCTCCATAAATTATTTTTGTTTGAAGAACTGAAATATTGCAAGATTCTGATTGAATTTATATTCTTTGCTTTCCTTGTTAGACTAATGGATTGACTTTTTCTATTTCCCATTCAAGTGTTCATTTCTTCACTGTGTGCAACCAGTATTTTAGGAGCACTTATAATATACCAGGTACTGAAGACACAGATGCAAAAGATAGATGTGGTTCTACCCTCATATGACAGGGGAAATACATATTAAATAACTAGATACAAAATTAATAGTTCAATTCTAATTTTGGTAAGAACAATGAGAGTCACAATGGAAGAATCTAACTGGGGGTGGAACCTGTTTTGTCTGGAAACTCTGGGAAGACTTTCTTGAGGAAGTAAAATTGAAGGTAAGGTTTTAAGGATGAGTAGCTGTTGGCTAAACAAAGGTGAGATAGTAAGAGTAAACACACTCCAGTGGACCGAACATAATGTGTAAAGGCTGAGATGGAAATAACCAAGGAAAATTCAAAGGACCACCATAAGGAAAATGGTGTATGGTGAGCCAATGAGGCATGTGTTCTTGTGTGTTACAGATTTATTTATTTTGCTAAAGGTTGACTAGTCAACTACAATGCACTAGGCACTGTGCTACGGGCTAGGGAGATAACAATGAGGAGAGATTGTGCCTTCTCACTAGAGATAAATGCTCTGATAGGGGAAATAAAGAGAAAAGGCTTCTAAATAAGATCAAGAGGTCAATACATTGGAAGGGGTGTCAAAACCGGTACCTTGGGGAGCATTAACAGGGTAGAGGTAGTGGTGGAAGTGTGGGGTTGATGGGATGAAGTGTGAGGTTGAAGGTCAAGGGTTAGGAGAGAAAAAGAATAATGTGCTTGGGGAATTGAAAGGAGCATACACGTAGAGAATCAAGTAAGAAGAGGTGATTTCAACAGTGGACAAGATTTAAGCACAAACTAAGACCCCTATAATAGGAATTTACTCCAGGTGTAGTGATTAATGGCTGTGGAGGTCAAGGGTTAGGGAATGGCCTCTCACCTGGTTCTACTGCTGGATTATGTAGACCTTGAGGAATCACTGACACTCTTTTGGTCTCTATTTCTTCCTTCATTACAGAGGGGTGGTGGACTGGGTACTTTCCAGATCATAGATTCCATGATACTATTTAAAAACCTTCACGTAGACTGGGTCAAGCTGGAGAGGTTGTATCAGTTGTCAAGGCCCCAGAGACAAGTAGTGACAAAACTCATTTAGTCCATCAGTAAAATATACATCAAAGTCACAAAAAACCTGCTTTTGATTGGAAGCAATATTACTGTCCCAATTTTCTTTTTTATTCTAAAAAATTTGAATACTTTGTTATGTGAGAAATCAAATTAACCTCATGTAAATACAAAGTCTTCCTTCTTTCCACATCTTTTCACTGAAGAATCCCATTTTTCTATTCAGTTTGAACCCAAAGTGGACTTAAGGTCTGCAGTGTGTCCAAGGAATCCTATAGTGTCCTGCCAGTTGTGTCAAAAACATAAATTGATTGACATGGTGCAGATTAAATGGGCAATTGGTTGATTTCTTGGTATTTAGCAAGTTGTTAATTAATAAATATAAAATAAATGCCAGGCTCAGGTAATAGGCAGGGGTTGTGCTCTTGCCTTTACCTTAGAGAACTGAGGAGAGAGTCCCATCCCCAAAGTGTTCCCTGAAATGAACAACCTGCATTCGCTAGTTCAACTGGTGTGCAATATTCAGAGTAAGTTCAAGTCTTATGAAATAAATGTATTCAGAATCTCATCAGTATGACATTTATTCAGATTTATGTATGAAATAGGGATATGCTAGCCAAAATATGCAAATTATTGCTACAAACATCCACTCTTGCCCAGGAAGGAATTTGGAGAAATGGAGACAAGGGAAACCTAAGTTATATCCCAGTAAACATCCTAGATTATTCCCTGAGGATACCATTTTAATATATAACTGCTCCTTAAAAAGTCAATCAAAGCATGGGAATTATTAAATGCTCAGACATTAAACAGAAAACCTTTGACCTTCTGGTATCTTTGAACTTGGAAGTTCTGGTCATCTTAACTTTCATGGATCAAAAGAAGAAGACATTTATAATGACAAGCACACATAGTGTGTCTTTGATATAGAAAGGGGGACCTGAGGCTAGGGAAAGCAAAATGAATATTCATGGGCAGCAATTTAGCAGGTTGGAGCAACTCCTGACCTAACTGTACATGGTGCACCCCTGAAGCTCGAGTGGAGGAAGCTTAGGATTAGGAACTTCGTGCAGAAACACTACTTTGCCTGGTTTATGATGAACTTTAAAACTTACCTGAAGAGGTGGTGAAGATCTGAATGATAAAGATTCGAGCTCTGCTTAAGTATAAACTGGGATTTGTACATCTGTGGTTGGCACCGTGTCCCCTCCCATCACTAGCCTTAGGGCCCTCTTGGACACAGGCCCTCCGATTGAATGAACAGTGTCCCGATCCCTGCTGGCCATTGTTTTTGTCCCAGTGTTCCTCTGTGGCTTACCACATTCAGTGACCTGCTCAGCCAGTATGTCCAGGTGATGGTGGAGAATATTATCCAGAGAAATAACCTCTTGTTCATTAAGTCTATTACCACTTAATGGTAAACTGCTAGTCTTTATTGAGCACATGCCATTGTGCCCTGTTCTGTATTCAGTGGATTTTATACTCACTTCATTTGGGAATTAACCCTACAAAACAGTGCTATGCATATACCAGTTCGCAACCGAGGAATCTGAGACACGAACCCGTGTGTTAGGTTTCCCAGAGTCTCATGATAACTTAGGGATGGGCCAGGATTTGCCCTCCGGCCATCTGGCTCCAGAGCCTGTACCTACCCCATGTGCCTCTGCCACCACTGTGGGCCAGATGGGGGAAGGCCCTGAGAAGTGTCCAGCGACGTCCTTTCACTGGCCGGCCCAGGGGTTCCGCCCGTCCTCATCTTTGGAGCCAAAGCTGACGTCCTGCTCTGTAAGGCACGCTCCTGTGCTTACAGAAAGGGAGATGGCAAGATGACTGAGTGCCAAAGGATGGAGTCTTTAGGCTTAAAGCCTCATAGCGTTATCCACCTGGCTTGGCCCAGTTCTACATTTCACTTGCTTCACCCAAGAGTAGGGGTCCTTCCAGGGTCACAGCCGCGTGTGCTTCAGAGCTGGTCCCGCATGGATGGATAGCTGGCCAAAAACACAAGCAGAGGGCGCAGGGGGACTGGCGGGACTTCGGAACTGCCCATCAGGAAATCCGCTCACCAGCAGCCTCCCGGGGAGGGAACGTGGGAAGGGGGGGGCCAAGCAAGGCCCTTGTGATGCTCCACGGAGCAGTCACCTGGCTCCTCCTTTCGGAGATGGCTGCTGTGTTTCAGTTTTTTCAGTAGGACCCCCAGACAGTGTTTTTCATATTAAATGGGGGCAGCCAGTAGGATCACAGGCATTTATAGATGTTCGCATGGAGCCGGGTTGCGTTACTCCTGCGTGTCCGCATAGACACTCTCCTGGCAAAGGCGGGCGTGCCCCAGGCGTGCCCCTTGTCTGTCTGTGTGATCGTTGCACTCCTGGCCAGTTGTCAGAGAAGTGACTTCCCCCCATAGCTTACTAATGGGATGCTTTTCTCTCTCTTTTTCTTTTAATTGCAGCAGAATCTAAGAAAAAGAAAAAGGAAGGCAAGAAACAGGAGAAGATGCTGGACTGAGAGAGGCCACCTCCGTGGAACGTGAAAGGGACATCAGCAAACAGGACCAGTTAACTATTGCATTTATACCTACCGTAGGCTTTGTATTCAAAACGTATCTATAGCTTAAGTACACAATAGGCAGAAGCAAAAGAAAAGAACATTTTTGTAGTAGCATTTTTTAAATGTATACCATAGTACCGCTAGGGGTTTAGATTAAAGGACTGTAATCCTATTTAGAAAGTTGACTTATAGTACACGATAAACCATAGAAAATTGAGGTAAGTTTTTTTAAAGTTATGTGATGTTTTCCACTTAAAATCTTTTTTTTTTTTTTTTACATTTTTTCTTTTGGCAGCAATTTAAATGTTATGTGCCATGTAAACTACTTCTCTTGTTAGGTAATTTTTTCACCTAGACTGTTTTCCCAATTGAGAAAATTATGTACTAAACAAGGCAGCAATAAAATACAATCATCCTATTTGAGGAAAATACCTTGTTTTCTGCCAATGGATTAAAATTTTTTTTAGACGGTAAAATAGGGGGAGGGGGCAGAGCATGCACAAGTTCAATGTTGACCTTTTTTTTTTTTTAAAGAAAAGCATTAAAACGTGAAATTATTTCACTTCGGCAGAAACATTTGTTCTCTTGATGAAACTATTTTTCCATCTGAGGAAAAAACACACTAGGAAAATAAATCAAGGTGATGCTAAAAAAGGTGCTTTTGTGTGTTATAATTTGCTATTGGAACCGTCCTGCATTTGTCACCTACACTCCCCCAGGCAACCCGCTAGCGGTGAGAATCTATCATACACACTAATTAAATCACTCTTGGGCGCAAAAGTTATAGAGGGTTACAACCTATAGATGGAGATTATAGATAATGTATATGTCGGTGTAGATGGCTATATGTCTACATCTCTATATTTTTAACTTTCTATCAATATTTAGTGGGTTAGACTGGTGGTTTAGAATTGAACAAAAGTGCCAGAGTAATCTAGTAGTTAGGAAATGCTTCTTCTGTGGAACACATCTGGGCTTGCACAGCCCAAATCAGGTTCAGAGCAACATAATGCAGAATGGTACTTTGAGTTTGGTCTCCAGAAACCAAGAATTGCCACTCTGGTATCTACCATATAGTGCCCAAGACTGTGCACATGACTCCCCTTATCTGCTGGGCTGTAAGCAACAATATATATATATTTTTTAAATTTCAATTCTCATGGGAGGACATGCTTAGAGAGAGGAAGGGGGGGAGATAGAGAGAGATGAGAAAGAAACATCAATCGGTTGCCTCCCCGAATGGGGACCCAACGGCAACCCAGGCACATGCCCTAACCAGGAATCTTTCTGTGCACAGGATGACACTCAGCCAACCGAGCCACTCCAGCCGGGTTCTAAGCAACAGTCTAAGTAAACAAGTCTATGTTTCTATTGTCCAGAGAAATAGTCTCAGAAAGCAGCTGGGATTAGCTTCCAAGCATTCTCCTGAAAGAGCCACCTCTAATTTTAAAGTGATAAGATGCAATAAACAAACACCTATCTCCTCAGATAACTAAGTCTGTTTAAAAAGCGATGGTTTCAACATACCTTGGGCTAGCCATGGAGTAATGGTGAATTGGCCTGAGGATGCAGCCAAGGTATCTTCAAAGCTAAATTGCTTTCGCCATCAGGTTGAAGACGCCACTGGAGCTAAGAATATTGAGGGGGTCCGTGTCTCCCCACTGAGCCCAAGCCAGCCGCCCGTGGGGAGTGGAGAGGGGTGGGCTTCTGGCCACACGCACTGCCCATTTTATGGACTGGTGCTTAATAAAAGCAGGGGGCCCTGTAAAGCGCAAATGGCAAACACGGATGGTGAACGCGGCCCTTTCACAAGCAGACTGCAGTCGGGGAAAAGCCGCCAGGACGGATGGAGGGGATGAAAGAAAGGCACTTTCTTCGGTGGGGTCTTTGACAGCGACGTCCCATGAGGACAGGGATGACGGGAGAGGCCGCAGCACATTTCCCCAGCCTCTCACCCAGTGTTGCTTCTCCGTCAGCATTTAGCTAACACAGCAGCCCATGAGTCAGGAACGAGGGACAGTGAGCTGAACAACGCCTCCCAAGGGAAACAGTCCTGTGAATAATCGAGGCATCTCTCCTCTTTCATGGGCCACGGCAGGAAGCCAGGGCCTCTGTGCTGCGCCCACCATGAACCCCAACAAGTCATACAGTAATGACCCCCCACTAAGCAAGGGCCCCAGCGCTGATCTCCTTCGCATAGGGCATGGGACCAGGCTTCCTCTAAGTCTGGAGAGCTCTTCCACCCCAGCCCCCTCTTTAGATCGCCCTGATGTATTGAAACCTAAATACAAAGGGACGAGCTTCAGAAATCCCTGATTCTCCCAGACGGGGAAAGGAAAGACCGTTCTCAAGCGTTTCATAGAATTCTCCAGCAAACGCCGCTTCCCCCAAGGGTTCTGAGCTTCGCGAACTCTGCCTGAACGTCATCAGGCCTCGAGGAAGGACCGTGAGTGTGAAGAGAATGTCAGCCGTGTTGTCTTCGGTGGCCTGAGCGAGGCGAGCCTTCCGATAGTTAGGAGGCCGCAAGGCAGCCTCGCCCAGACCCCGGCAAGACAGCCCTTCGGTGGCCACCAAGTGTCCTCGATGAGCTCAGTGAGTGCGTCCGCCACACGGCACCCAGGCCGGCCTTCTGATCGTCCCGAGTGTGGGTGCGATGTCATCGAGAGGAGGACCTAGGGGAGGGACATTTTGACTTCACACACACTCTTGGCTTCACGTCTTAACGTCTTGCAACCCTGTAGGAGAGGAACTCCAAACAATTTAATACTCTGAACGTTTACTAAGTAAAGTTCTATTAAATTGTATGGGAGAGAATTTAATTGTTATTAAGTTTAATAATTAAATCATTTAATTAAAATATTAAATAGCCCGGCCAGGCATGGCTCAGCGGTTGAGCATCGACCTAGGATCCAGGAGATCGCAGTTGGATTCCCGGTCAGGGCACATGCCCGGGTTGCGGGCTCGATCCCCAGCAGGGGGCGTGCAGGAGGCAGCCGATCAATGACTCTCATCACTCTCCCTTCCTCTCTCTGAAATCAATAAAGATATACTTTAAAAAATTAAATAATTTCAGTGTTCCTTGATCATAAGGAGTCTTATTTTAGGAAAGAAAGGCTACAATGCTTTTCCCATTGAGAAGATAGATAATTTCTTAGGAACAAGACATACACATTTTTACCCTTACTGTGTAACTCTTGGCTTCATAATCCTGAAAGTCTTTAATTGTTTTATAGCTTCTTTAGATGAAAAACACTTATATGTGAATCAAATGAACAAAAGAAACTGATGAACAAAATAGGCCCATAGCCATGGAAGCATGGAACAGACCGACAGATCTCAGAGGGAGCTTGGGGGGTGGGGGGGGCAGGAGGAGATTAACCAAAGGACTTACAGGCACATGCCCATTACCTCCTGGACACGTCAATAGAGTGGCGAAGGTCTGGGGAGGGGTGGGAGCCGGGTGGAGGGGGGCAAAGGGAGGAAAATGGGGGACATCAGTAATACTCTCAATGAGAAAATCAATTTAAAAAACAACAAGTAAATCTGCTTTAAGAGGCACTGGATGAGGCAATAGAAAGTACCACTTGCACAAATTGTATTATTTTGAAATAGTTCCCAATCATTAAAACCAGAAGTTTATCAACCTTTACTTATGGGATTTCTAATGGCATCAGCAAAGGGCTTTCTTCCCATTAATCTTCTTCCAAAATAATAAGATCCTTGGAAGTGGGATATCAAAGGTTCTATCTCCTTTAATCTTTCCTGGCTTGCTTCTAATTTAGTTAATTTTAATCCTTAAGCTTTCAACAGTGGAGTTAATCAGAAGGCGAGGGTGTAGGGAAATAATTTTCCAACATTTCTCATAAAAACTCGAGTGTTTTATTCTTCTTTGGGATAAAACAGACTCTTCACTGTCTACAAGGTTATTTCTAAGTTGCGAAATTCTCTCTCCATCTTTCCCTGGGTGGCCCTGTGTTCCTCCTGCGTCCCCCCTTTAATCCTGGCTGCCACAATTGGATACACAGAAAGGGAGAGGGCACATATTACTTTCATCTGGACACTTTAGCCGCAGACAGTGACTGCTCCAGGTTTGCCAAATGCATGCATTTTCAATCTACTTTTCAAAGAAGATAGTCTTGGAGCACAGGAACACGAGGAGAAAGGGGCATAACNATCCCCCCTTCAATCCTGGCTGCCACAATCGGATACACAGAAAGGGAGAGGGCACATATTACTTTCATCTGGACACTAGCCGCAGACAGTGATGGCTCCAGGTTTGCCAAATGCATGCATTTTCAATCTACTTTCCAAAGAAGATAGTCTTGGAGCACAGGAACACGAGGAGAAAGGGGCATAACGTTGCACCGAGCATCCTGCGAGTGATGCCTGCCTCAGGCTTAAGTGGACTCTGATTCCTTAGAATAAAAGATGTGGACCATTTTAATCAGAGAAAAACAGGCCAGTCTTAGAAATCTGTCCCTCCCCTGCTGTTTCTGTTCTTCCCAGTTTTTCACTTTTCCAAGCAAAGCACCGAAAGTAGAGTAAATGCTCAATCCTGCTTGGGTCTCATGCGAAATAATATAATTCAGTAATATCTCAACACAAAGGACTACAGACTTATGTTTTTTAAATTTAAAAGAAAAATAAAGGACAATTAGCTCTCAATATCTAATTTCTGTAAAGTGATTTTTTTTTTTTTTTTTTATGAAAGGACAAAACCTTCACCGGCGGAACAGTGCTGGATGTTATTTCTTATGTATACACCCGTCGCAACTACCGTATTAAGTTACTCATGGGGTTAGCTAAGGAGGTAATAGATCTAGATTATTGCCACATATTTTCTTTTCTTTGAAAATGTGTGTGGAAGCCATAGACTTTATGTTAAAGATCAAAAGCATGGAAAATCCTGACATCATATCAATAAACTCCTGGGAAGGGAAGGATGCCTTAGAGACTGTACAGATATAGTGAGTGTATCCATACACTCAACTTGCTCTTAGTAGAGATACAAATGTTACAGACAATAAACTAATCACAGAGAATTACTTTTTCCCTCTGTCTTTGACTATCTGCTTCATCAAACACTGGACCAAAAAAAAAACAACTTTAAGTATCATACTTGATGAGATCCTTGGAGAACTACATGAATACCTCCGTTACTATAAGTGACCAGCAGATTGAAATAAGTCCAAAAGCTGTATGCTTTTAAGGTAGTTATAACTGATCATTGAAATTCTTACCAATTTATTTAGAGATTCGCAAATCTACTGTCTTGTAGCAAGGATGGAGGGAGAGATATCAGATCTATTGTGGGATCTGGAGAGAAGAGTAGGTGAGATGTGGATAATTGCTCTAATGAAGCATTTTTTAAAAATATGTTTTTATTGATTTTAGAGAGAGAGGAGGGGAGGAGAGAGAGAGAGAACAACATTGACTGGTTGCCTCCCGCAGGCACCCCAGCCAGGAATCAAACCCACAACTTGGGTATATGCTCTTGACTGGGAATCGAACCAGTGACACCTGTGCTTGGGTGCACAGGATGACACTCAACTAACTGGATTTCTTCCCTCTATATTAAGCTAAAAGATATCTGGCCATTTAAGGTAATTTTCTTTGGGCAGCATTTGTTTTAGGTTTGTATTAATTAAACTAGGAAA